AGCCCTCCCATCGCCCGAACCAGCGACCGAGAGGACGCCGGCCCCAGCAACCATATCACTGAAAGGATCTCCGATGACCCTTCGACCAGCCGTGCTGTCCATCTACGACCAGCCCGTCAGTTCCCTCCTCGAGGACAGCGGGGACGAGGGTGACGACGAGGATGACGAGGACAGTGATGACCCGTACCTACGACAATTGCAGCAAGCAGGGGAAGATACCGATGAAGAAGCCTTAAGGGAAGAAGTGGAAAGAGCAAGGAGCAAGGAATACCAGGAGTTGTATGAGCAGGGTAGGAATTTCTTATGGCAGGACGCGCGCTGGCAAGCGACGTCATTAGGACTGGAGTATCGGTATGCAGGAGGAACGGAAAAAACAAAAATTTTACAGTATGCCGCGACGGAATACGCATGGAAAAAATACGGCTTGCGGCACCCAGAAGATCCGCTCACGCCATTACCACCATATCGACCCCCCGAACAGCTGAAAGCACTGGCACCAATGCTGCGCACCCCCCCCATACCTCCAAGACAGGCAGTTTACATCGCCCCCTCGATCCGAAGTCGGGCCGACGACAGCCCATCGGTCCAAAGTATGGCTTCACGGCTTGTACGAACCAGAACCCGGCCGGCATGGCAACCTGCCAAGGCTCCAAATCCCTGGACCGGCAGAGGGAGCCGACTCCTTGGGGCCCAGCCACCCCCGGACCAAGCAGAATCGAGCGGAAAAGCCCCCGTGCAAGATGACTCTGAGGCGGTCCACCTCGGATTCACTGTACGAGACGGGGTCATCGTCCGAATAGAAAACCCGAAAGGCAGCCCAGTCGCCAACGACAACTCGCTGCACTTGTTCCCTGGGCCACCCGTGGAATGGAAACAACCGCCATTCAGTGAATGGCCTAATCCGATGGGTGCCCTCCCGCATAACGCCAACGTCCTACAATGTCACCCGGACCTTCTTCAGAAGCCTCGCCCTTTTAAAGGAGCTTCCGATGACATCGACCGATTTCTGGTAGACTGCAAACAATACTTCGAGGTCTACATCAGGTATATTGGGACCGATATGAACAAGATCGCCTTCGCCACCTCCTATCTAGAAGATAAGGCCAAAACCTGGTGGATCTTGATCTCTCCCAACTTCTGATCTGCCACCAGGGAACATTATCGATACCCTTCATGGCCGGTCTTTAAACGAATGCTAAATGACAAATTCATTGACCCCGCCATTCAGGAAGTACACAAGCAGAAGATCAAGGAGTACAAGATGGGAGATAAGGCGGCCACGGACTACTTCGACGAGCTAGAACGACTCGCCAAGCTCGCGGGGATCAGGGAAGATACTGCAAACGATGGAAGAATGGTAGAAGCCCTCAAGAGGGTTAGGGTTAGGGTTAGGGTTAGGGTTAGGGTTAGGGTTAGGGTTAGGGTTAGGGTTAGGGTTAGGGTTAGGGTTAGGGTTAGGGTTAGGGT